GTCGGAAACGAATGCGCTTAAATACAAATCCAAATGTTTTAAGGTGTGTGCGATTCCACTGCTTCGCATTGCTTCGCATTGTCAGCAGTGTCTGGATAAGATTGGATGTCAGTTTGAGATCGTGCAGTTAGAAGACAATAAAACGATGCTTGTTAAGAGTTTTACACTTTTTAAATAATGAAATCATAATAAATACAAAGTTCACAATTATTTAAAATGTGTATACATTTTTTGGGACACCCCGTATTTACAAGAGAGGATTTTTTCATGCATGATTTCCCTAAAATATATTCGAATTTATGAAGGCAGTCAAAATCAATGACAAAATGCATACTACTTAAGTTGCCATTTTCTACTGAATCAAGTTTTTCGCTGCGGTCAGAAAGAAGCTCATCACAGAGTTAGCATCCTAGCGTGACTGAAAATAATTGAAATTGGACTGTATGCTAAACAGTATTGCAGCCCTACTCAATGTTGATTTGCGAGTGATTACCGGTCTTTTTCAAATTTCGAAATGTTTCATGTAGCACTCGCCATACTGTAGATATCTATGTGAATGTTAGCAGTTGATAGAATAAATGTCCGTGACGATACCACCCCTGTCTCCATCTCAGGACAGAGGTTCATGTAACCACTGGCGCATTAATCTTTCTCCAGGGGCCACTCATGCGTCAAGTCGCTGTAAAAAGTTGATCATAAACTTCCAACTGCTGCCAAACTTTAACTTTAGCTCTAACCCAGTATATAGTAAATAGTTTGCCTGCATGCATGAAGTAGACTCGCTATCAAGTTAAAAAATCCAGTAAAAAAGGCTTTCAAATGCACGTACTTATTCAATAGATCGAGCAGATAAACGGCTGAAGGCAGATCATAATACTTTAAGCGGCATAACTCTGCCGCCAAAACTGCAGCGATCCGATTCGGCTCCAAAGCAATATCGGGCTCCGGGAACCACTTCTGCTCGACAATTTGCTCCAGGAGTCTTATCTGTCAGGATGAAAAATGATAATGATTCCAGTGAAAAGAGACCTTCACAAAAACTGCGATAGCGTTGCCGCCAAGTTATACCCTCGGTGTTAACGTGCTTATGAGTGAATTGCAAATGATTACCTCAGTATGTAACCCAATCCAACCCTAATGTTTAACTCAACCTTTAAAATTAACGTATATCTTTGGCGTTTTGTCAAACGCAATCAGATATATAAACCTAATATAACGTACCTACCTAAATCGAATAAGCAGACATGCTGTGGTACTAAAAACTAAAGAGTTACATATTAGATCATTGTCAAGCAAAATATGGTCACACACATGCTTTTCAATAATCACATCACATCGCTCAACGTCTAGTGCAAAAAATATGGTTTCGAACAGCAAGTCAACTAACCCAGATCTTATTTTAGTTACCAATCTGTCTGGAAATCGAGTGTAGCTTCTCAGCAGTTAAAATTGACCAGCTAGAGACAACGCAGTGTGCATCTTATTTATTTATTATATCGATCTGTATCCCTAGATTTCGAATTTTTCTTAGAAGTGTATGCCTAACAGCACTGTCTGAATTGAGTAAAAACTGAGAATTAGCTCTTTCCCTACTCAATACCATTGATGTTTTTCGAGAATTGCAAAGGACGGAACAGGAAATCCGGACGACGGAAAGTTAGGAAGACGGAGGAGCTTAGGGGTAAAAGGCAGAATGCGAAGCCGAAGTGATTAAAATCCGGTTGATAAAACAACAAATAGTCAGAATTCGGGAAAAAATTACGCTAAGAGTTCCTCGTATGGCCGCCTCCAAGAGGCTTCAAAAATTAAAGCCTACTTCCTATTTTGCAATAGGTCGAACTTATGTATATCCAAGCACCTCCTCGATTATGTTAACCAATTGGGGTTCTTCTTATAATTTTCTTGGTCAATAAGCTGTCCTTTTGGGCTTTTTTGTATTTTCTTACAACCTTTTCACCTATATTTTTAGTTCAGTAGAACAAAAGCAGTGGTTTGAATTTTTTTCTCACTGCGCAGCTACCATGCGCCTATACGACCCCTGGTGTGCTCCCCCCTTTTATTTCCCTTTAACGACGAAGCCCCTATGACGCTTGAGCGGGAAGGCTCCTGCCATTCGGCGACCATAGGGGGACTCTTATTAAAATTATATTTAAGTGGACTATTCGATCGAGTGGTATTAAACTGCATCCGG